CTCAATTGTTGTAATTTGACGTCACACTACTAGAACTTTCTTTATTTTTCTCGTTCCCTTAAGTGAGTGTTGTTACATCATAACGTCTCGTAGTTTGTAGAAAGTTCTAGACCTCAGTTGGACAATATATATATATATAGGTGACCAGCGAGCGCAAATTAAGTTAGAAAAAAGCTAGTTAGTGAAAGAAAATGTGAAGTTAGCCGGTGTGTGGGTGATTAGCCTTAACGGGTGATTTCTACAGTGTTTTTCACAGCTGTATTGTAACAACAGAAAGCAAGTTAAGTCAGAAAAAGTTAGATTAGTGATAGTGAAGTTAGACTGTGTGATGGTTAGTTTAGCTCTATCGAGCGATTTTATAAAGGGGGTTTCACAATTTAACAGATATAAAGAGAACAATTTGTTTTGTCAAAGGGTGTTCTAAAGTAATTGAGCCCGTCTGTGTGGAATTCGACGAAAAGGGGACAATTATTTAAAGTTCTGGAATCAACTGTGGTAATCCACGGGGTAACGTAAGTAAATTTATCGCAGATTTTTGTAGTAAGAAACAGAGTAGAAAAAAATCATTTGTTTTTCCAATTGGATTCTAAAGTAATTGAATCAGCCTATGTGGACTTTTGTCAAGAAATAATAATTATTTAGAGTTTTAGATAAAACTGTGATATCCTATCATGTAAAGAATTTTTGTACATACGTTTGACTTGTTTTGGATATATATTATTTCTAAACAAGTGGATTGTGTATTGTCCGTTTATTGTTCGAATTTATCGCCAACAAGTCACAGACACCTACTGTAAAAGAATCACAGCTCACATATTCAAAACCCTGATAAACACTTTCGTCATAGATTAAATATGTTGAAAAACCTCCAAAATTCTACATTATACCTCCAAAAACGTTTATTATTTCAAGTATGGAGGTGGCCAAGATATCTTCTATGATATATCAGCACAAAAATTCATAAAATGGTAATACTGTGAAAATGATGTCTCAAATATTATCATGCCAATTATTTGTTTTCATAATTGTGTGAAAATATGTAAAACATACACCATAAAGTTTAAAGTTTTAACATCCACACACAGTTCTGTTTATTGAGTAAAAACGAAAAGAAAAGCAACAATAAGATAATGATTATCTTGAGCTTTAACACACAAGATAATGATTATCTTCACATGCAGTGTGAATATTTGTTATGCTGAACATTCTAATTATAAATCTCAGGTCAAACTTTTCCAAAACTGCTCACTCAAATTCATGTACACTGTCAGGGAAACTAAGTCATTAAAAGTTTTGTGACTTCTATAATTGATTATACAATTTTAGAACGAAAATTTTACGAACTTTCAGCTAATTTCAATATGTTAATTTTTTTTTTGTTTCACTGTGGTTGGATGTAACCACTTTCTACATCATATGCTTACTCAGAATATTACCAGCTAACACTTGCCAATTTTTCTTCCCAGCCTCCAAGAAGAAATAAATATATTGTAGTAATGAACTGTATACCTCTCTGCATTATCCCTGTATTTTTAGTTCCATCAACCTGTCAGATCACAGGTGTAAATTTCCATTATTGTAGTTGCTACATTTTCAAAGGTATAGCAAAGAACGTTAACTTTGGAAACTATTGAAACTGACTTATCAACTTACCCTCATGTACACAGTCCTTATAAATTTTCTTAGCGAGTTCGAACATCACTAAAATAAATTATATTTCGTCATAGAGCAATAACTATCAGTGTATCTACCACTGAGATCAAGGAAAACGGGACTTCGTGGTCATCGAAAATAATTACCAGGTGGCGCTTTCTGTTCCAAGTGGCCACCTTTCATGCCAGTGATGGTCGTCATCCTTGGAATGACGTAGTATAAAGCTGAACAAAGCTGTCTAGTATTGAATATCTCTACGTGATGTCGGATGGTACCTTTCAAACCCATTAACACAGAAGGCGTTCCTCGATAAATAACTGGGTTTAGGTATCCTCTCAACCATTCCATGGAGTTCGTAGCAGGAAGTCCTGGATACATCACAGAGTGTTGGTATGTACATAGAAAATATAATTTAGTATATACATATATATATATATATATATAATCCAGTAATATTTCCCGCTTTAGGGACTCTTTATCAACAACCTTATCCCGCTTATATTAACATTATAAGTGTACTTTATTTCTTTGTTTGCAGTTAAGCACAGAGCTATAAATGGGCCATCTATGCCCACCACGGGTAACGGAACCCGATTTTTAGCGTTATAAGTCTGGTGTAGACTTAACTCTGAGCCACTGGGGAGCAAATGTATATTACCAGTCACGTAAGCATCAATGTAATTCAACTGTACTTAAATGAACCACTGCTAAGATGCATAAGCACTAAGATATGTTGTTAATTTTAAAATGCGCAAGTGTTCTTACGTCGACATCGTATATTGGATTTGCAATTTTTACCTTGGTAAACAGGAATGTTTACGTGTAACGAACACCAGGCTATCGTTGATAGAAAGTTAAGTTAGTTAACCTTAAACGAAACTGTCTTATAGTGAAACGTGGTTATAAAACTACATTTAATGTAGTTACTTAATTAAACTACATTTAATGTCAAAAATAAGTTGAAAATCAGGGCTGTTAGGGGGTAATTTTTGCCATTTTTCAGGAAAAATCACTCCTTTCATGCAGCGATGAGTTTTAATTAAGAGTATGTTCATATAATGGATGTCAAAAATGAAAACAAACTCACATTTGTTGCCTCAGAGTTCTTTGTTAGTTCGATAGACTTCTGGTAATTCAGTATTTCATTGCCTCGCTTCGGTATCAAACCCGAGACTTCTCTCACGCAGGGCAAGTGCGCTACCTACTGAGCTAAAGTCTACTAATAAGACACTTTTAACCTCTCACGCAGGGCAAGTGCGCTACCTACTGAGCAAAAGTCTACTAATAAGACACTTTTAACCTCTCACGCAAGGCAAGTGCGCTACCTACTAAGCTAAAGTCTACTAATAAGACACTTTGTTAACCTCTCACTCAGGGCAAGTGCGCTACGTACTGAGTAAAGTTTACTAATAAGACACTTTTTTTAACAATTCAAATTACTATAGACATCAATGGACTTGAATTTTTAAATTCAATGTATATAATTTATAACGACATTAAATTAGTAACAATTTTTAATTATCCTTAGCCATTCACAGTGTTTATGGATTCTGTCATTAAATGATATGGCTTTATTTTAATTCTAGAATTTTTTTATATCAAGGAGCATCGTAGACCAAAACAACATGCTGGGGGAATTCCAGATGTGTTCTGTTGGATTCACTTTTAGCGAACGATTCCTTATAGACAATAGTTCTTCTGAAGGAGCTTCTCCATGACCAGGGTGTTTTATGAATGGCATTCTCATACATAAGGACGAAACCGCCACCAATGAAACCAGCTTAAAGCTACGTGTAAATGTCTAGGATCACATCCTTGTGCTGCAATGGTGTCTTAGAGCTATCCTGTCAAAAATGTCAGTGCATCATTGAATCTGGTGTCACACCAAGACCATGTTAGGCCCATAACTCTAACAGTCATGTTCAGCCATGTTAAAATTTTGTTGGTGTTTCTGAGCTCTGGCATCATGCTCTGTAAAGTGAAAATAGATCTTGAACATGTTTACGAAGAGCACTAGTGTCCAGTCATGGACAATTCATGTCAAATGGTCTTGAGCCTAATCTCGTCTATTTAATTAACTGTGACACTGTGTAAAGGTGATTATAACTACGGACTTTCTCTAGGACCACAAATCAGCCTTCTTGAGTATCTTATAGAGAGTTTAAGACTCCAGATGCCATTTTTATATCAAATTAGAAACAGTCTTCGCGAACCAGTATGATCAGGAAGCAACTCTGACTTCTGTTTGTCGCTATTTTCCGCGACATCAGTGACATTTTTTTACACTTTCAAGGATTATTTGTCACTTACTAGCAATATTGTTGATACAAGTTTTGGCAGCAGTAACAGATTGTTCAGATACTCCATCTTGTATTACAGAGCCCGGTATGACCAGGTGGTTAGGGGCGCTCGACTCGCAATCTGAGGGTCGCGGGTTGAATCCCCCATCTCACCAAACAAGCTCGCCTTTTCAGCCGTGGGGGCGTTATAATGTGACAGTCAATCCCAATATTCGTTGGTAAAAGAGTAGCCCAAGAGTTGGCGATGGGTGGTGATGACGCGCTGCTTTCCCTCTAGTCTTACACTGCTAAATTAGGGACGGCTAGCGCAGATAGCCCTCGTGTAGCTTTGCGCGAAATTCAAAACAAACAAACAAATTTGTATTACAGTTCCTCCAAAATTAAATGCTTCCTGTCTTTTGCGGGGCAATACATATAAGTGCTGGTACATAAGAAAACTAAAAGCAATCCAAAAATAACCCAAGTGACATAGAACATTCCATTTGGCGTAAGTTTCATTTTTTTCTGTCGAAAAATGTGTAGTCCTAGTAAACGATATTAATCAAAGAGAGAAGACTACTCTTTCATCTCTTGAAACTCAATCTCAATATTTCCCATACATCTCACAGATTTGGATAAGAATCAGTAATAATTATATATTAGCATTGAGAAACGATACTCCATATCAAAGTTTGGATTATATATATTATTCTTTTTAAAATGCTAGTTAACGTTAAAATGTTTTAATGTTGATTTGAAGACTTTTTATTTGAGTTTTTGATTTGAAAGGTTTGTTTGTTTGTAATTAAGCACAAAACTGCACAAGGTGCTATTTATGCTCTGCCCACCACGAGTATCGAAACCCGGATTCTAGTGTTGTAAGTCCGCAGACATACTGCTGTGCCACTTTCTTATTTTAAACTTTATGAACATAAAATAAATAATTAAATTGAAATATATATACACACATATATATATGTATATATATATTGTATATTTATATAAATTTTAGTACTTAAATTCATTACTTTTAAAAAAGTAGTTTAGTTGTTTTATGTATTTTTACAGTTTTTTATTGCTCAAGAGGAGCCTGTAATGCTACGAAACCGGTTAAAAAAGAAACAGTAATCTTATATATATATATATGTGTGTGTGTGTATTCATACTGAAGTGAAAACACGTTGAATTACTGTTTATACTATCCACTCCAACAAGATTAGTTTCCTTTCAAGATATACAGCACTGGAAACTAGGAAAGGATCTTTATCGCTTAGTGTAGAAAATATTTGAACTAAATTATCGACAATGTTTGAACTTCATTTTATGAAAAAATAAACATAATAATAAATCCAATAGGAAATTATTTCAAAGACAAATGTATACATTGAAGAAAATTGATTCGTGGTTCTCTCAAGTAGGTAGTTATGAAAGCATAATAAGTTCGAATGTATAAGAAATTTTGGAGGACAAAGCGAATTTTCTAAAGAATCATTTTAATGAAGGTAAAATTCATGTTTTTTCTTGGGCTTGATAGCAGTAAAATTTAGCTAAAGAAGAGTCACCACCACTTCTACTTTATAAATTTCGTAAATCAATTAGTGAAGTTGAATCGGAATAAGAAGAAGAAATTATTCGAAAAAGTTTAAAACTTGAAACAGTAATAATAGAAATGGAAGCACTGCAAGGTAGAGAGGAAAATCAAAAACTGCAATTTGTAGAAAAACTTAGAAATCACTGATCTAAAACAATAAATGCGGTTGCAGCGAGAAGAACAAATTATCATGTTCTTACTATTCCTTCTGCCTCGTAGGTTTTTCTTTTGTTCTTTTTTAATTAAGAGATTCTAACGTTTTTGGGCGACCTCTTTTTCTATTCACTTTAACACCAACAGGAACCCCCATAGTGACAGCATCCACAAAGTTTACATTTCACGGAAACGTTACACCTTCTAGCCTTGCACTTGTAACTGAGACTAGGGTAAACATGGCTTTCAAACACTCTCCCAGTGTGTGTTGACTAGTTTAGCACTGAAAACAGATCTTCTATAGGTAAATTACTTTGTAAAAGACAATCTATTTTCACTAAAATCTTAACATAGACGAGGGAAGTACTGACTTTCAAATGAAGGTTGCAAGAGGTGAAATAGATGAGCACAATGTTGTATTGTTCAAAAGTTCTAGGATTAAGTTATCGTTGAAAGGAAATTAATTGTAGTACTATTTATCGTTTGCCGGATATTGTGATGGCAGAAACAGTTACTAACGTTTGAGTGATCGACTTTAGACTTTAGGGTTCAACTAACAACAAAAACTGACTGAGGAAGAAAAATATAGACTAAAAAATTCAGAACTCTATTCTATCCGGAGAATTTCAAGGTTGGTTTTAGATTTGAAAAAGAGAACATTGAGCTTTGTACTCGAATTAAATACATTTTTATAATTAAAACTACAAAACTGATGGTTTCCTAAAAATATCCGACGAATTCATTAGTACTTAATAGATTTAATTTTCTTTTTCTCAGTGACGAAGTCATATTCTTTAGCAAGTAAACGAATGCGTCATTGACTCCCATTAATCTGTATATAAAACAACTTTCAAAAATGGAGAATTATTCATGAAAGTTTAAACGAGCCTAAAAGTGTGTTTGTTAGGACTAACTAACTGGCTCTGACTGCGTACTTATAGAAATTGCATTGCAAGACTTTTTAATGATGCAGCTTATATTACAGTGAATGATAAATATAAGTTTAAGATATTTAAACAACACACGTTTTATATATTTTAAGTACCTTTCCTGACATGGAACTTTATCGAAAGAAATAGCGATTTTGCACACTACTCATTAAATCACTCTTAATTAAGTAATGAACATATTAATGATTAAAATAAATCAATTTTATAGATCATTGAAAATAAAATATTATGACACGTGATGAGAAATTTAGTGGATCTTAAGAACCACTGGAATATATCGAAAAGTACAAAAAAAGAAGAAAAATGAATACATCTTCACAAGAGATTTATCATTTTAGAATACTACGTGCTTGAAAGTGAATCCATTTCTTATGAGTCATTAGTATGTCCTACTCTAATATCTGTTTCATGGACGTGGATACCTTCTATTTATAAGCTTTAAAAAACGAAAGGTTTCTATATATTATGATATAAATTCCAAAAATAATGTATTTCTTCGATTTCTGTTTGAAACGCTTTCGTGCGCAGGCGTATCTAAGGAATTTTTTATAGTTCTCATATAAATTAATCCGTTTTCAGTAGCGTCGTATCACTGAACCATAACTTTTGTCACATGTATGGTTAGTTTCTTACGGTCCAAAAAGTGGTTTTTCTCGTTTAGATTACGTTTATCCGTCTATACATAAATAAAGAGATAGACATTCTTAGGACAGAGTGTTAGAAATAAGTGAGAGAAGTACATTGGTGAAATATAAGAATACATACGTATGAGCCAACTTAAAACACAATACACACCTATGGAAGAAATTTCATGAAATACATATTTTCGTGTCCAGTTTGTCTTTCAAAAAAAGATTTAATAAATAAGCGCTCCAGTATGTTTCTTCTAAGGGTGTGTATTATACTTTATAAAACATTCGTAGTTATTACGTATATGTTATGTTATACTTTATGAAACACCCATAGTTATTACGTATATGTTGTGTTATACTTTATAAAACACAGATAGTTATTACGTATATGTTGTGCTATACTTTATGAAACACGAATAGTTATTACGTATATGTTGTGCTATACTTTATGAAACACTCATAGTTATTACGTATATGTTGGGCTATACTTTATGAAACACTCATAGTTATTACGTATATGTTGTGATATACTTTATAAAACACGAATAGTTATTACGTATATGTTGTGCTATACTTTATAAAAACGAATAGTTATTACGTATATGTTGTGCTATACTTTATAAAAACGAATAGTTATTACGTATATGTTGTGCTATACTTTATAAAACACGAATAGTTATTACGTATATGTACAATTTTGTTTTCTTCCACTTCATTAATAATTTGTATTGCCGTTAACTTAATATATTTTGATTAGATGCCGTCAGTCTTAAATACATCGTCTATTCACCAGTTCATTAAGCATTTGGCTCATTTCAACGACACGTTTCAAAGGTTTCGTAAATACTATCTAATTTGAACGCTCAATTCAAAATGGGCAATGGTCAACCCTGTGGTACTAGAGTTCTCGCTTTCGGAGCTGATGAGTTGGTCTCGAACCCGTAAAATTAGGAACAGCGGCAGATAGTCTGAGTACATTTGCCATATATGTACAATATACATTTTTTTATAAAAACAATGTTAACGGTGATTCAGATCGACAATGAGCTCAATGAATGTACATTGTGTATTTCAGTACCTGAAACGGTCCGGTACTTGCCGGTATCCAGTACCAGCACTTCTGTATTCCAAAGAGTTGCGTACTGGCACTTCTCATTATAACCAGAAATACTTATCTAAGTGCGTACTGCCACTTTTTATCTACCTCCTTTTATTCCACTTTTATTCGCACCAACATCTTTATTTTTACCATTTCAAGCACTGTGCTCTTCCATGGCGAAGCATGATCTGGTAGTCTGTAATATATGCGATATAATATAACAATGTAATAATTTAATACACATCATTTTCTTATTGGTCCAACACGATTTTTCAGCAAGAATAGTGTATATATATAGCGACATTTCAATTATATTTTACTTGTTATACGCTGCTGCCATGAAGCTGTTCGCTCAGTCTGAGTTGTATGTCATAAGACATTATGTTTCTTGAAATGACTTATGCAAATAGAGTTTCATTTCATGCTTTGTCTAATTGAACCAAGCCAGCCTGATGAGCTGTGACATTAAGTCAAATAAACCTCACTGATGGTGACGTGCAAGAGATGAAGTGTGGTTGAAATTCTATTATACATTCACTCATCGTTGTAGATACTCGTATTAGGGCAAGAATGAAACATTAGATATCACATCTTTTGCCAATATATTTCAACAGCGGTGCTAACAGATGACAGGAAAGCTTCTTTTTAACCATGACAATATACTATATGGTTAACGAAATGACCGCTTGATTACAAGGCAGACCTGTGGTCAGTTACAATAGTAATCGTGTAATTCCCAATTAAATGCAATTACAATGCATTTGTACTTCAGAAAAAATATCAGTTTAATTGTAACTGTAATTTCCGCTTACAACGTTACTAAATTTGTACTTGTACTTTTAATTATTACTTATCCTATTTCTGCTACAAGGTATTGAGATCACTAAAACTTTATATTGATTTCTAAATGAACATCTGCATCTTACTCCACGCTGGAAAAGTCGAAAGCTGTCTCGCTACAGTCTTCTAAATGTTCCCACATTTCACGTGAGATAAATCGTGCATAATGTGTATTTGATGAATGACGTCAACCTTCAAGAGGGAATTCTAATGCCGTCATTAATCTACTTAATATTGCCAGGTTTTCAAATCTGATTATACTGGAGAATTTAATGAGCAAGTTCGGGTTGGAAGAGTTTGACAACCGTGAAATGAGAAGCCGAGCACATATTGCCATGGTTCCTACATTATCTTCAATTTTGTAATATGTATCGGAGAGAATTGAATCAATATTTCAAATGAATTCAAGTAGCTACCAGTACATTGGTTCTGAAAACGATCTGACCACTCGTTCACACGTCAAAATCGTGTGATATACGTAAATAGCAAGTGAGATATGTGGAATAGATTATTCTCATAGGATCAGCCTGATTTTCTTAAGACTTCACTATCAAAGGGCAAAGTGACATACTTAAAAGAACAGCGAATCAATACAGCAAAACTGTTGAATTTTTTTTACTCTTGTTTTTCTTTTAGTTTAGAAGATGAAACTCCAGCTTCCGAATATTATATTTTTGTTATTTACGAGCCTTTCGAAATAATATAAATTATTCTTATAAATGATACCGGATCAAAAATTAGATGAATCACAAAGAAAACCAATAGCCCGAGCACTTTCGATAGGCAGACCTTATTTTTTCTCTCCTGAAAATGTTCAAGTTTGAATAATTCTAACTAAACCCATTTACACTAAATGGAGTTAA